AGCGGGGCGAGAAACCCAACCCCATGTGGCCCTACGCTGGCGTCCCACACGGCCAGCCCCAGTCCTAGAGCCCGACACCTTTTGAGATTGCGGAGCAGAACGGAGAAGACAGCGGGCAAAGGGTGGACGGCGAAGGAGAAGTGCGAGAGAACGACAGCGTCTACGGTGGCGGAGGAGAAGGAGAAGACAGGACTGAGAGGGGAACGATCCTGGAAGGTGGCTTGAAAAGAAAGGGCAAAGACTCTCCTCCCTGAAAGATAGGGGAGTGGTTGTGGGCGGGAACCCGAGCACCGCCCAGCAGGGGGCGTTGCCCCCTGCCTCCCACTCACCTGGCTGGCACTCACGCCCCCCCCGGTGGCCACCCAACCAGGTGCCGTGGTGGGGGCGTGTTCAGCAGCCTTTTGCTGCAGTGCCAGCCTTTCCCTGGCCTCATTCCTCATCGTCGTCCCGTCACGAGTCACCCACCCTCCACTCCCTTTTAGTTAGGGCTTAGGTCATTGGCCTTGCTATGGACCTTAGGTTGGTCGCCCTGGTTGCCTGGGGGGCCTGGTAGGAGTTTTTCCATTTGGCAATAGGCTTTTTGGTTTTTTCGCCTACCTCGTAGCAATCGTCACAACTTTTGTGGTATTGGTGGGTAGGTTAGGCATTGGAATAATGTGTTGTGGTGTGTCGAAGTGCTAGGTGTGGCCATCGCCTATGCCTTCAATTTTTAGGGGTATTCCGTTAAAGGAATCTGGCGGTCGTGTATTCTGTCCGATGCCTGCTTGGCGGGAGGCCATGGCACGACCCGCGGTGACAGCAGGGGTGAGCCTATAGTTGGATTAGCATCAACAGGTGATGAACGCCTGGTGAATAAACCCACTTGTTTCGATCCAATGCCTAAGCCAATACCTTTTCATTGCTGTAATCAATAAAGTTGTGGCCTTTTCTAGCCCATTAACCTTATATCACGTGTCCTTGTGTCTTCATTTCACTTCGCGGGGGTCGGGCCCTCAAACCACAATATGGCGTAGGAAAACTGCTAGCTCACGCTGCCCACGCCCAAAGGAGGAGGAGGAAAGAAAGGAGGAAAGCAAGCGAGCAAGAAGGGACAGCTAAAGAAAGAACTGAGAAAAGAGACAGTGAGACCTTCTGGGGGTCAAAGAAATTACAATAAGAAGGAAACTGAGAGTTTTTAGGTTGCGCTCCGCGGCAACCCGGATGTAACAAAAAGCATTATTTCCGGGTTTTGCCATTTGCACATGCGCAAACGCTCAAAATGATGTTACGCACATGCGTGGAAGCAGCGAATCGCGACCAGCACACGTGCAGACGTGGGTTGCGTTCGCTTCAGGATGCAAAGGGGGCTCCGGAACGGATCCTGTTCGCATCCAGAGGTACCACTGTATACTAATGGGAGACTTAAATGGAGTTACATGGTTAGAGATGGGAGTTATTTGCCCAATCAAGTGGGGCATGGATTTTATGAAACAGATCAAACAAGCAAACAAACAAACAAATATTGATAAAGAATAATAAAGCTGCTAGAATGCTAGCCTGGTTTGTGCACAGACAATTTGTTTATGAGTAGAGAAGTTTCTGCTCAAAGACGGGGAGCAAGTTGGTTCCATGTGCAACAGAAGCTCACCTTCCCCAAAACATGTCAAAGGGCAAAAGGTTTAAGGCTCAGAGCAACCTTTCTCCCCTCCACCAACCCTTCTCTTCCGTCAATAAAATGGTCTCTTACCTACCTATAGTCTAGCCCCTTGGAAGAAGCCAAAGACCACTGCAAGAAAAGCAGCCTTTGCAGCAACTTCCCAGTATATCACAATTTTTGAGGGGCGCCTTCATTTCTTACTCATAAAACCACAGTAGAATAGAATCATAGAGTGGTAGAGATGGAAGGGACCCGGAGGAATCTCACCTGAAGCATCCATGACACATGGTCACCTTCGGAGGGAGTCCGTTCCACTGTTGAACAGCTCTGTGTGCTTCAAAGGTGCTGTAATGGAGCAGAGATTTCCAAATTCTTCCTCTATGCTAGACAGGAAAAGGTTTGATGTCAATGCAAAAGGATGAATAAACAAAGAAACAAACAAATATTAATCTTTGTGGATCATATAATGTCCCCACCCCCATTCATATGAATGCCAGTTTCACTCTTTTTAAAGAATTCATTTATTGCAGGGAGGCAGCTAGGTTCTACTGGCACATGTTGTCTTTCCTGTTCACCATCCAAGAGATCAACCAGGATCTCAGGCTCTTACCCAACATCACCCTGGGCTACAACATCTATGAGAACTATTTCGATGCAAGGATGACTTCGGACGCCATGCTAGAGCTGCTTGCAGGCAGTGGATGCAATATTCCCAATTATCACTGTGGAGAACAGAATCACCTGCTGGCTGTTCTTGAAAGAAGCAACACTTTCATCTGAAGAGTGATTTCAGCCTTGTCAGGCATCTACAAAATCCCACAGGTAAGTAGTGGGAGAGCATGGAAGCACAGAGGATTTCAACTGCGTAAAATTCTATCTTCTCTTGGGAGGGGTCAAGTGGGGATATTTTTAAAAATGGGAAAATCCTGAGCTATGGATTCAACATCCCTTTTTCAAAACTGAGCCTTCACCAACTTGGCACCTCCAGATGTTTCTGACTAAAACTCCCATCAGCCTCAGCCAGCAGAGATTTAGATATCAGTCATTTCAGATGATTACATACCCGTTATGATGAAAGTAAAGTAAATTGCTGGTCTTTTGCTTTCCTTGCTAGATATGTCATGGTTTTACTGTCCAGTTTCTCGAAGGTAAAACCCTGTTCCCTTTTGTCTACCGGATGACTCCCAAAGAGGAAAGTCAGTACCAGGGGATTGTTGAATTGCTCCTGCATTTTGGATGGACGTGGATTGGCCTCTTCACTCCAGACAATGACAGTGGAGAAAGTTTTGTGAGCGCTGTGAAACCTCTGCTGCTCAGCAAAGGGATCTGCATTGCTTTATCAAAAAGAGTACCAGAAAACGATCCAGGTCAATTTATCAGGCCTGGGGAACCTTTTTTCCTATGGAGACAAGTTGGGGTATTTGTTTCCTATATAACCAATTCACAGACTATCGTAATACTCATGGCAATACACTTTATCTATGAGAAGGAAATAGGGGCAAAAGTCTGGATCACAACATCTTTGCTAGAAATCAGAAATGGCTTTTACATCCCTCGACATCACTTCCAGCACCTCTATGGTTCTCTGTCCTTTGCAATTCAGACTGGAATAAGGAGCAGCAAAGGTGACAAATTGCAGTTCAATATTGGGGATTATTTGAATCAAGCATTTCAGTGTTCATATTCAAAGCATCTGTTGTCTGTGAAAGGCAGGATAAGATGCAGAGAGGAGGAGAAACTGCAGCCATTACCCCAAGGGGAGTATGAGAGAGTCCTGTCTCTAGACCAGTGTTTCCCAACCACTGTTCCGTGGCACACTAGTGTGCCGCGAGATGTTGCCTGGTGTGCCGCGGGAAAAATTAAAAAATTGAAAGATTTTTTTTTTTTTAAGTCAAATTTTCGATTGGGGCGCCGTCACTAGATGGCCCCTGGGGTTCCCTCCCTCCCTCCCGCTCTGCGCCTCCCTCCTCCTCCTCCTCCTCCGGGGAGGCCCTTCCTGGCTCTCGGCCAAGGCTTGGCGGCTGCCACTCACTCACTCGCTCGCCCACCCGTCCCTCCATCCCTGCACCCGGCCTCTCCCCCTCCGTCCCCGGCGCGCGGGCTGCCGGGATCCGTAGTCCCCTTGCCCTTGGGCTCCGCGCCCGCGCGGGGTGCGCGAACTACGTTTCCCAGCGTGGCCTGGCGGGCCGGGCGTTTTTTTGAAGCGCTCCATGGAATGAGCGCGGCGGCGGTGGCCGGGCGGGCAGGGGCTCTTCCGCGCAGACCCCGCGCAGCCTGCCTGCGCCCCCGCGGAGATCGGGCGGCAGGATGGAGGCCGGGGATCCCCGCGGAGGCGGAGCGGCGGAGGCGGAGGCTGCCCCCCAGGTAGGGCTGCGTCGGGGTTTTTTTTATTTTTGCAATGCTGCATCCGCGCCGGAGGGGACGCATCGGACCGCAGGGAGACCCCTTGGTGGGCGTGCAAGGCAATGCATGCGTGCAGGCGTTGCATGGAGTGCAGTGCAATGCAATGGCAACGCGGCGCCCTGCATGCATGCATGCAACTTCCACCGGCGCTCCGGACTTGGCAGGTTAGGGGGATCTCCAGTGGGCGGCAGAGAGCGCCGGGAGGGCGAAGGGGAGCCGGGGGGGGAGCAGCGCTGCTCCCCGAGCCGAGCCCGGGGGGAAACTTCGGCGTCGTTGCACCGGGTGTTGGAAGCGGAGGCTGGCGGGGGCCCCTCACCTCCAAAACCTGGTCGCCTCTCATATATTTCGTGCATTGCATTCATCGCCCGCTTTCTCCTCCAAGGAGCTCCCGGGGGCGCGCATGGTTCTCCCCGTGTTATCCTCGCAACAACAGCCCTGCGAGGTGGGTCAGGCGAGTGGCCCAAGGGAGCACCCAGGGATTGTCCTGGCCAGGTGGGGTGATTTGAACCCTGCTCTCTGCCCGGTCTTCGTCCTCATTTAGCCCCCACATGTGCATGAATGTGCATGACTGAGGTTTTCCCCCCTCGTCTTGGCTATGGTGTGAGTCTGTGCTGTTAATTAATGGGGTTCTGCCTTCGGAGAAGATGAGCCAGCCCTCAAGGAGGTGATTATGTAATTTGCTAGCAATTCATGTCCCTCCCGGCGTGACGCTGCGCGCTGACGTCACGGGGCTGTAATGGTGGTGTGCCTCGAGATTTTTTTCATGAAACAAGTGTGCCTTTTCCCAAAAAAGGTTGGGAAACACTGCTCTAGACAGCTATGGCACTTACATCCATGTTCAAGCTGTGGCTCAGGCCTTGCATGCTTTGCTTTCATCGAGATCCCAGAGGAGGCTGATGGTGGAGGAAGGAGAGCAATGGGGACCCCAAAGGCTACAGCCGTGGCAGGTATTTCCTTCCCCTTTTTGCAAACTGCACTCCACACAGATGCTGATCTTGACTGGGGATAGGCCTGTAAGATATCATAGTTACTATTAGTATTAGTAATAGTAGCAGACCGCCCAACATTTCTCTGATGCAAATAGAAACATCCCATTCCATACTGATAATCTTTCTGTTTATAGCCAGGGCTTTTTTTCAGGGAGAACTCGCTGGAACTCAATTTTGGCACCTCTCAGGTGGGTGCTATTGCCATTATCACAGGGAGGTGTTCATGGTGAGTTCAGGCACCTTATTTTCTAGAACAGTGTTTCCCAAACGTTTTTGGGCAACGGCACACCTGTTTACTGAAAAAAAATCTCGCGGCACACCACCATTAAAGCCCCGCCCCGTGACGTCAGCGCGCAGCGTCACGCCGGGAGGGACGCACAAAAGTGAAAGTTTTTTCCCTCCCCCTTGCCGGGGAACCTCCAAGCTTTGGGGGTGGGAGGAGGCAGCAGAGCGAGGGACTGAGGGACGGCGGCAACTGAGACGGCGGCGGCTGAGGCAGAGCTGGGAAGGGGGTTTCCAGGGGACACGGCAGCTCCTCGAAAGGCTTCTCTCAGCTGCGCTCAATCCGCCTCGGAGAGGATTTCCCCTCCGGTCCCATGCGTTCGTTTGGGGCATCGCTCCGGCTGCTCCCTCTCCCGCCGCGCAGGAGCGATGCCTCTCTCTGGCTCTCCCTCCGCGCAGGCTGAGGGAGGGAGGGAGGGGCGCGTGTGACCCGTCTCTGCTGGGAGACCAAACCCAGCGAGGCAGAGTCGCGCGGAGGCGCCCAGGCAGCGCTGCCGGCTGCGAGGAGGAGCGCCAGGCAGCAGCAGGAGGCGCGGCCTCTCCTCGCCGCCGCCGCCCCGCCTCTCGCCGCCCGACTCGCCCGCTTCCCTCCAGGCATCTCGCGGCACACGAGGCAACGTCTCACGGCACACTCGTGTGCCGCGGAACACCGGTTGGGAAACACTGTTCTAGAAAAATAGCACTGTTTATACCCCACACATCATCTTGGGTTCCCTCAACACTCTGGGCAGCTCCCAACATAAAGAAATTCCACACCTGCCAACCTTTCTCCAATGAAAATAGGGACATTCTAAGGAAGAGTGGGAAATTCTGGGATCAAATGAAAAACTGTCTCTAATTCAGGGACATCCCTCGAAAATTGGGGCACTTGCAGGGTCTGCAGTATAGTAGTACCTCGGGTTAAGTACTTAATTCGTTCCAGAGCTCTGATCTTAACCTGAAACTGTTCTTAACCTGAAGCACCACTTTAGCTAATGGGGCTTCCTGCTGCTGCTGTGCTGCTGGAGCCTGATTTCTGTTCTTATCCTGAAGCAATGTTCTTAACCTGAAGCACTATTTCTGGGTTGTGTGTAACCTGAAGCGTCTGTAAGCTGAAGCATATGTAACCCGAGGTGCCACTGTAATAGAAATGGCTGAATAGGAATTCCAGTCTACATGAGATACACGCAGGCCCCAAATCATAAGAGGCTGAAGTGAGTAGGACTGAGATATCCATCTTGGCTTCCAGCTTTCTCAGTGCTGGTGCTTTCCCCTGTCATTCCAGCTTCACCCTTTCTTGAGAGAAATCTGGTGTCTGAATACTTCCAGAGGCAGCCTGTGCTTGGATGAGAACTGGGAGCTACCAGTGGACTTCAATATTATGAACTGGGTGATCTATCCCAATAAGTCTCGTGACCTTGTGAAAATTGGGAATATAAGGAGAGAGACGTCTGCTGGCATAAAGTTCACCGTTAACCCAGAAGCCATTGAGTGGCCCAAGAAATTCAATAAGGTAGGGTAAATCACAGAGGGAGAAGGCTAGGAGATCCTTATTATGTTTTTCCTTAAACAACCGCTGAAAAATAACCATATCAGTTTGACCAATGGTGTCTTGACCGTCAATAACAGCTGCAACCACAATTCCTACTTTCCACAGCAGCTGAGGTAGGAGGTGAATTTGGGGTGCTCAAAGAAAGGATAGAGCCCAGAGGTCCTCAGAGAAGACACCATCTATTTCCGAGTCAGACTGAGAATTTAAAAATTCTGGACAGAATCTTCGACAGAAAGGATTACGTAGATAAGAAGAAAAGGGAAAGCCCCTAGTAAAAGGGAACTATTGGGCTTTCATACATGCAGAAGGATGGAAAGTAATTTATTTTAGAAATGATAATTACTGATTTATTGTGGATTTTTTAATTTGTGGAGTAAGCTCACTTGTAGATGTTGCAAATGTTAAACTATTGTACATGCAGGAATTGAGAAGTGCACAGCTGTTGGTGAAGGATGAGAAGTTAAAAAAAAACAAACCCTATTGTAATATAAGGTTAAAGTTAAGGAATGGCATATGAACTAGAAATAACTAGGACATTCATCAGCAATAAGAGGAAACCTTGCATGCCTCAAGAACAGAGTGAGGGAAACCAATATTTGGAAAAGTCACATTAAATTTGTCTTAATTAGTGATTGAGAGATTATCAGAATCCTGAACTTTGGGGAAATCACATTTCAGACTCCATTGCCATTTTCTTTGAAGATTTATTAAGCAGGGAATCAGGTAAACGGAGAAGAGGAAACAGAGCTCTGTCGCACAAACCTCAGTTGTCCTGAACTAATTATGAAGAACAAGATATTCTGGTCACCCCAATGGTCAGTGGGGGGTTGAAAGGACCCTGATGAGGGGTCAAAGGCTGCAGTCCAGAGATCCGTTTGAATTCACTCTATGAGTGAATTAAGGTAAAGGTAACGGGACCCTGATCATTAGGTCCAGTTGTGGCCGACTCTGGGATTGCGGTGCTCATCTCGCTTTATTGGCCGAGGGAGCCAGCGTACAGCTTCTGGGTCATGTGGCCAGCAGGACTAAGCCGCTTCTGGCGAACCAGAGCAGCGTACAGAAACACTGTTTACCTTCCTGCTGGAGCGGTACCTATTTATCTACTTGCACTTTGACATGCTTTCAACGTGACGTGCTTTTGAACTGCTAGGTTGGCAGGAGCTGGGACCGAGCAACGGGAGCTCACCCCGTCATGGGGATTCAAACGTCTGACCTTCTGATCAGCAAGTCCTAGGCTCTGTGGTTTAACCCACAGCGCCACCCGCAGCCCTATGAGTGAATTGCATACCCACAAATATTCCTAACTGTTCCTCTTTCTTGCACCTTCTTGTCTTTCTGGTTAGGCCGTGCCTCGTTCCAGGTGTACAGAAAGATGTCAACCTGGGTATGCCAAGGTGGTTCTAGAAGGAAAGCCCGTTTGCTGCCATGCTTGTGCTCGGTGTGGGTTTAACCCACAGCGCCACCCGCAGCCCTATGAGTGAATTGCATACCCACAAATATTCCTAACTGTTCCTCTTTCTTGCACCTTCTTGTCTTTCTGGTTAGGCCGTGCCTCGTTCCAGGTGTACAGAAAGATGTCAACCTGGGTATGCCAAGGTGGTTCTAGAAGGAAAGCCCGTTTGCTGCTATGCTTGTGCTCGGTGTGCGGAAGGGACCTTCTCCGCCCAGGAAGGTGGGTGACTCCAAGGGGGGAGGTATTTCTACAGAGAGTAAACACAGGGCAGAAATCCAGTCTCACCCACTTTTTGTGAGAATTCTGCAGACATTGTGGAATGTGGCTCCTTCCTCAACTTCCTTAGTATTAATCACCTTCATTACATCCTGGAAGAGAGTTGAAAGGAATGATCATAAGGAAGAAATCTCTAGGATTTCTTCAAAACGTAATAGAGCACAGATCATTAGGGATGTAACTGATGCTGCAGCCACTCTTTTTCCTCTTCCTCAGATGCAGAACATTGCACCAAATGCCCAGAAGATCACCATTCAAACAAGGACAGAGATCATTGTGTCCCCAAGATTACCACCTTCCTGACTTATGGAGAATATTTGGGAATGGTGTTAGCTTCCGTTACCCTCTTCTTATCCATAACTGCAGGCATTGTGTTGGGAATCTTCATTAAATACAAGGAAACTCCCATAGTCAAAGCCAACAACCGGGACCTCTCCTACATCCTGCTTGTCTCCCTCCTGCTTTCCTTTTTGTCCTCCTTCCTCTTCATCGGGCGCCCAAGGAAAGAGACCTGCCTTCTCCGACAAACGGCCTTCAGCATCATCTTCTCAGCTGCTGTTTCTTCTGTCTTGGCAAAGACCATCACAGTGGTGCTGGCCTTCCTGGCCACAAAGCCCGGGAACAGGGTGAGGAGATGGCTGGGCAAGAGTCTGGCCAACTCCATTGTCATCTCCTGTTCTGGGGGGCAAGTTCTCATCTGCACCATCTGGCTGGGCTCTTCTCCCCCATTCCCAGAGCCCGACAAGCTCTCCCAGCTGGAAGAGATCATCCTGCAATGCAACGAAGGGTCTGTGGCCATGTTTTACGTTGCCCTCGGCTACCTGGGCTTCTTGGCTGCCACCTGCTTCACGGTGGCTTTCCTAGCCAGGAAGCTGCCCGGCTCCTTCAACGAAGCCAAGCTGATCACCTTCAGCATGCTGGTCTTCTGCAGTGTCTGGGTGTCTTTTGTGCCCACCTACCTGAGCACCAAGGGCAAGTACATGGTGGCCGTGCAGATCTTCTCTATGTTGGCCTCCAGTGCTGGGCTTCTGGGCTGCATCTTCCTTCCCAAGTGCTACATGATTGTGCTGAGGTCTGATCTGAACACAAAGGAGCACCTGACAACCAGAAATTAAGGGAACAGTTGATTCTTAAAATATTCCATGTTCCCGATGCCCAGAAGTGCATAAAGGAAACACACTTGCTCATCCATGTTGCTCATTCTTCATCTGTGAAAGAGATTGTGTTCATTCTTAGCCCAGGTTTTGTGTAGTCCTGTTGACATGAACCGTAAGATGGGAGGAAATGTTTTGCTACCTTGCTTTGCCAAGGACTACAATGAGTCCTGGTCTACTGCCCTTAGTTTGTAAAGTTTTATCATTTAATCATTTTTTGCTTTGAGAAGTTATATTTATCTGACAACCAGATAGGCTGGAGGGAGAGAGGAGTTAGGTTTTTGAGTCTGTTTGCTTTGTCATGACTACCTATTAACCATATCAATTCTAATATTCCACAATACTGTTTGGTTATGCCAGTTCTATGTATTCAATTTTCTATGCTCCATTTCCCGCATTTATGCGCTATCATTCATAAGCTCACTTCACATCATTTTGTTTTCCTAAGCTTTGTATATCAATAAACTGAGAAATTCATTTAAGTTCTCTTCTGTGGTTCATTGGTTTAATTTCTGTATTGTGTAAGCTCTGCTCCCTGTTCCAGAGAGTAGCAACGGACCTTAGCCAAGCCTTGACTGGGATCCAGTGAACTTTATTGCACTGGCCAGGGTTAGGAATAGGGTTAGGGGCGGGCGAGGCAGGCGGGAAGAGAGGGGAGCGGGAACTCCGGCGCTCATGGGAGTGGCAGGCTGCCTATGCCAATCTGGGCGAGTCATTGTGAAAGGAGGTGGGGAGAGTAGAGCTGGGGAAGGCAATGGGTCACAAAAGGCAGCAGTGGAAAGCGGGGAGAGGTGGGGCGGGGTTTAGTGGAGAGTGGTCACGCCCACTAGGCTGGACAAGGCAAAGCTGGGAGGAGCCTCTGGCTTGACTTATTTCATTATTATTACTAATATTAATTAGTAATACAATATTAATTTGGGGGAATGTATTATAATATAATATAATATAATATAATTATATTATATTATTATACAGGGTGATTCATAATAAAATATACAGTTTCAACACCCTATAAAAAAGAATATAATATATTTCATGTTACCTGTGACAGAATTGTAGGGGAATGTTTAAAGTATTTTAGAAACAGTCAGAGATGTTCTATGTGTGCACCCTTTGTCACACGACACACATCACAATCGAAAATGCCGTTGCACAACAAACTCCGTTTTGCTCAATTCAAGAACACAAAACGCCTTCTCCACTCCAGACGCCGCCATTTCGCCTGACTAGTCACGTGACACGCGCACTCTCACCTCCATCACTTCCCTCAGTCGCGGAAGACAAACTGTATCAGTACATCTGCCTCACGGTTCGCAGCTGTGGTCCGTGTCGGCGCCTGTCTTACAGGATCTGGAAAATGTATATTTCATTATGAATCACCCTGTATTATATTATTTCGGTGTCCAATCACTGCATTACTATAGGATACTTCATTTCAATCAATCAAATCTTTATTACGGTAGTAGACCAGCATCAGTAGGGTGGGGTACAGTCATTTCCAAACTGTAAAACGTAAAGCTAAAAAATATTAAAACACAAAGTATACATAAAAGTCTAAAAGAAGCGAAAAGACGGGTTTCGGAGCATTAAACAGATGTGGAAGAGCATAAAAGGTTAGTATATAAAAGACTCTGGCCCTCCATTTCCAGGCCGCTCTGAGATGAGTGTTCATGAAATCTAGTGTCACAACAACAACCATTTCTTTATACCCCACCATCTGGCTTGGTTTCCCCAGCCACTCAGGGCGGCTCCCAATAGAACATGAAAAACACGAGAAATACATCAAACATTACAAACTTCCCTGAACAGGGCTACCTTCAGGTGTCTTCTAAAAGTCAGGTAGTCGTTTCTTTCCTTGACATCGGCTGGGAGGGCGCCACCACCAAGAAGGCCCTCTGCCTGGTTCCCTCTTTGTGGCCCAGGTCATCATCCGATGAATTGGGAGCGTCATTTATTTCTGTGTTTATAATTAAAGAAAACATGCATTTTAAAAGTATTGCACCTTGATTGTAATATTAAGCATGCACTTAAAATTAATACTCACAACAATGAATAAGTGATTGAAATGCACACATAGTTAAGCAGTATAAATATGTGTGAACAATGTTCTTAAAAACATTTGTTAACCAAGTCTAATATTACTATCTTGTTGTGATTATTATTACTTTTCTTGCTACTAATCCCAGTGGCTTACAAGACTGAGCTCCATTCTGCCTTGCTCAGACGTCACCTGGAATACTGTGTCCAGTTCTGGGCACCACAATTTAAGAAGGATGTTGACCAATGGGAAGAAACCCCTCCAGAGAGATGCTGGTTCAGGCAGCCCCCTGAACTTAGACTACGAAGCCTCTGAGGGCGTGCAGAGTGCAAATCCCCCCAGGGGCCCCTCTCTCTCCTGGGCTCACCTGGGGGCCCTGTCCCTGCCAGCCTCTCCGGCCTCTGAGGGCGTGCAGAGTGCAGATCCCCCCGGGGCCCCTCTCTCTCCTGGGGGCTCTGCCCTGCCAGCCTCTCCGGCCTCTGAGGGCGTGCAGAGTGCAAATCCCCCCAGGGGCCCCTCTCTCTCCCGGGCTCACCTGGGGGCCCTGTCCCTGCCAGCCTCTCTGGCCTCTGAGGGCGTGCAGAGTGCAAATCCCCCCAGGGGCCCCTCTCTCTCCTGGGCTCACCTGGGGGCCCTGCCCTGCCAGCCTCTCCGGCCTCTGAGGGCGTGCAGAGTGCATCGGCCTGGGGGCAGAGTGAATCCCCCCAGGGGCCCCTCTCTCTCCCGGGCTCACCTGGGGGCCCTGCCCCTGCCAGCCTCTCTGGGCCTCTGAGGGCGTGCAGAGTGCAAATCCCCCCAGGGGCCCCTCTCTCTCCGGGCTCACCTGGGGGCCCTGTCCCTGCCAGCCTCTCTGGCCTCTGAGGGCATGCAGAGTGCAGATCCCCCAGGGGCCCCTCTCTCTCCTGGGCTTCACCTGGGGGCCCTGCCCCTGCCAGCCTCTCCGGCCTCTGAGGGCGTGCAGAGTGCAAATCCCCCAGGGGCCCCTCTCTCTCCTGGGCTCACCTGGGGGCCCTGCCCCTGCCAGCCTCTCCGGCCTCTGAGGGCGTGCAGAGTGCAAATCCCCCCAGGGGCCCCCTCTCTCCCGGGCTCACCTGGGGGCCTTCCCCCTGCCAGCCTCTCCGGCCTCTGAGGGCGTGCAGAGTGCAAATCCCCCCAGGGGCCCCTCTCTCTCCCGGGCTCACCTGGGGGCCCTGCCCCTGCCAGCCTCTCTGGCCTCTGAGGGCGTGCAGAGTGCAGATCCCCCCAGGGGCCCCTCTCTCTCCCGGGCTCACCTGGGGGCCCTGCCCCTGCCAGCCTCTCTGGCCTCTGAGGGCGTGCAGAGTGCAAATCCCCCCAGGGGCCCCTCTCTCTCCCGGGCTCACCTGGGGGCCCTGCCCCTGCCAGCCTCTCCGGCCTCTGAGGGCGTGCAGAGTGCAGCTGGTGTCCCTGGCGGAGGCAGAGGCAGGAGGGCCATGGAGCCAGGCTTTGAGATCCCCTCGGAGGGGAAGGGGCCACCTTCCAAAGGCCCTGCAACTCCCGCCAGCCTCTGCCAGCCTGGTCCACACTGGGGGGGGGGGCAGACTTCCCAGCATGCATTGCCAGCTCTGCCAGGCCAATGGTCGATTCCCAGCCTCAATAAATTTGAAATTTGCTGGTTTTTCCAGTGTATAACCAAATCAATCAATCTCAAGGTGCCTTTTGTTCGGTTTCACTATTTAGCTTTATGGATAAATGAACCTCTATTAGGTTTCATTTCCCTCACGTCCTTCTTCCCAGCATGCTTTGCTGCCCCTTCTTCTCACAAACAAGGATCCTGTTTCCTGTAATTGAAATTTACCGTTTTTCCAATGTATAACTCAATAAATAAGCCCCAAGATGTCTTCTGTTAGGCTTCACTTATTAGCTTTATTGATAAATTATCCTTTATTAGGTTTCATTTCATTTCCCTCACGTCCTTCTTCCCAGCATGCTTTGCTGCCCCTTCTTCTCACAAACAAGGGTCCTGTTTCTTATCATTTTATTTTTCTCTTATTCTTCCATTTCAACTTGATGGAGGGGCAGAGCGATGGAGAAAGAGAGAAGTCTTTTCCTCACAGCCTTTCCCTCACCCTTCCCAGGCTGCCCTGCGCAACCTTCCTCCTGGCCTGCTAATAAGCTAAAAATAACCAATTATTATACTCATAAACCCGCATAACCCAGGAAGTCGCGAAGAGACCTCGTCCTTTTCCTCATTCCCTGGGAGGCACCTAGAACGGCTTCCCCCTTTTCCCGACCTCCAGCGGCTCCTGCGCCCTGGACAACAGAGGCCAAAATGGCGCTGGCCACCCGCCAGTTGTTTTACCTGCAATTTAGAGCTCCCAAAATGCTTTAAATGCATGTTGTGGCTGTGATTTTTATAGTGCTTTTAATATTCTGTTGGGAGCCGCCCAGAGTGGCCAGGGAAACCATTATTATTATTATTATTATTATTATTATATTTCACCGCCTTGATTGCAATGAAACCTAAAGCAGACCCATTGAAATGCAATTCTTAACTTCGTTTCGGGTTTACACCAACCATTCTTCTTTTCGCAGTTGAGACTGACCATTCACTTTCTTCTGATTGGTACCTGATTGATAAACTCACTCTTTAACGTCATCTGAATCTCTGTAACCCGACGTTAAGAAATGGCATGTAAACTAGAAATAACGAGGGGAATCCCATTTCAGACTCCATTGCCATTTTCTTTGAAGATTTATTCAGCAGGGAATCAGGTCAACGGAGAAGAGGAATCAGAGTTCTGTGGCGCAAAACTATGCCCTCGGCTCCCTGGGCTTCTTGGCTGACACCTGCTTCACGCTGGCTTTCCTAGCCAGGAAGCTGCCCGGCTCCTTCAACGAAGCCAAGCTGATCACCTTCAGCATGCTGGTCTTCTGCAGTGTTTGGGTGTCTTTTGTGCCCACCTCCCTGAGCACCAAGGGCAAGTACATGGTGGCCGTGCAGATCTTCTCTATGTTGGCCTCCAGTGCTGGGCTTCTGGGCTGCATCTTCCTTCCCAAGTGCTACATGATTGTGCTGAGGTCTGATCTGAACACAAAGGAGCACCTGACAACCAGAAATTAAGGGAACACCTGATTCTTAAAATAGGCCATGTTCCCGATGCCCAGAAGTGCATAAAGGAAACACACTTGCTCATCCATGTTGCTCATTCTTCATCTGTGAAAGAGATTGTGTTCCTTCTTAGCCCAGGTTTTGTGTAGTCCTGTTGACATGAACCGTAAGATGGGAGGAAATGTTTTGCTACCTTGCTTTGCCAAGGACTACAATGAGTCCTGGTCTACTGCCCTTAGTTTGTAAAGTTTTATCATTTAATCATTTTTTGCTTTGAGAAGTTATATTTATCTCACAACAAGATAGGCTGGAGGGAGAGAGGAGTTAGGTCTTTGAGTGTGATTCCTTTGTCCTAACTACCTATTAACCATATCAATTCTGATATTCAACAATAGTTTCTAGTTATGTCATTTCTATTTATTGAATTTTCTCCATTTTCTACATGTATGCTGTATCATTCATAAGTACACTTCACGTCATTTTGTTCTCCTAAGCTTTGTATATCAATAAACTGAGAAATTCATTTAAGACATCTTCCGTAGTCTGTTGGTTTAATTTCTGTATTGTGTAAGCTCTGCTCTCTGTTCCAAAAAGTAGCAACTGACCTTAGCCAAGCCTTGACTGGAGTCCAATGGGTTTTATTACACTGGCCTGGATGTGACATGTTGTGCACTGATGTTGAGTGGATCACCAGATTACGAGTGAGCAAGCAACAAGTTTAGCATTGGAGGAAAGCAATGAGACGATGCCAGATAAGTTGTATTCCCTGCCTGCCAAACCTTTTAAGAGGAGGCATCTTATGCTCAGTCAGGAAGGAATAGGGAGAGGCCTCCTCCTCCAACTCAGGTTCCTCCCATTCACGTCCCCATTATAGAGCAAAGCCAAGATCAAAAGGGCAAGTAAAAATAATTTACAGATCAGCCACTGACAAAGCATTTATATTAATTAGTCAAGATTGCATCCTACTTAAACTTTCATCACTTCAAATTGGTGGAAACTCTCATTCTTATTACGATTCAACTTGTAGCATTCCAATGAAGGGTGCTATATAAATTTAAGCTGGGAGCAGCCTCTGGCTTGACTTATTTCATTATTCTTACTAATATTAATAAGTAATAAAGTATGAATTTGGGGGGAGGGGAATACATTACATTAGTGTCCAGTCATTGCATTTCTATAGGATACTTCATTTCAATCAATCAATCAATCAAATCTTTATTACAGTAGTAGACCAGCATCAGTAGAGTGGGGTACAATCATTTCCAGTCTGTAAAACGTTTCGGAAAGCGAAAAAGTATTTAACACAAAGTATATATAAAAGTCTAAAAGACGCTAAAAGAAGGGTTTGGGAGCATTAAACAGATGTGGAAGAGCATAAAAGGTTAGTATATAAAGACTATGGCCACCAATTTACAGAGCAATCTGATATGAGTGTTCATTAAATCTAGCACAGGGGTCTGCAACCTTTAAGACAAAAAGAGCCACTTGGACCTGTTTCCGAAGAAAAAACAACAACTGGGAGCCGCAAAACCATTGCGACATTTAAAACAAATATAACACTGTGAACGGCTTACCGTGCTTGACTATTTCCTGAGCGGCTACAAAACTAGCATATGTTGTGGAATTTGCAGACTTCACCCAATTCTTGAAATTATTTTTGCTCCTATCAACCTTCCTCATAAGTTCTGCAATGGCTTTTCGTCTCTCATCTCCATCTGGATATTTTTCAGCAAAGGCTGTGTGTTTATTCTGGAAATGTCTTGCAATATTTGACTTTTTGTTGTTTGCAAATTTCTCACCACATATTAAGCATACTGGTAAACCAGTCTTGTCAGTAGAGAAGGGAAATGATTCTGTCCATGTATCATTAGACATTCTGTTTTCTTCAGAAATTTTTCTTTTCTTGCCTTTATCCATGGCTGGCCTACCGGGGGTCCAAAAGAGGGACGTAACTAGAAATCAGAGGGCCCCATAGCAAAATTTGCTATGCCCAATAATCAATGCCCCAAAATGCCATAGAAAATTAATCAGGGCCCCAGTGTACCATAAATCCTAATCAGTGCCTGATGTAAATAATAATGAATAATGAGGGCCCAATGTCATCCTCGTCATTTTAAAATAACTTTTTTGACACTTTTTTATTATTTTTTTTGTTTGACCCCTCAGAATTACTCCTCCTCATAGAAATAAAGGTTAAATTAACAAGTTACCTTTTTTTGAGGGTGTGTTCTTCACTCCCCTTCAAAACAGTGACCAGCTTACATGCCCCCTTTCAATGCAGCCTGCTTACAGCCCTCAACCAAAATGGCCGCTCCCGCGACTCCCACGTGCGCCCACAAAGATGGCGCCGACGATTTCCCCTTATCGCTGCCCTTAAAAGAAATGGCCGCCGGTGTGTTCAGCGGTCACCCTCAGGGGAAACAGGTGTCCCCCCCCCCTTGGAGGAAATGGACTGATCGGAACCTGGCTGTGACATCGGCTCAGAATCCCAGCCTCACTTTGCAGTTGAGGCCAACAGCCTTTTGGTGGTTTCTCTGCAAGTGAATCAGGAAAAACTCTTATTGGACGCCGAGAAAGCAAAGTCTGAAGACTGATGTCTGGGGAAATGGTGAGGGGACCAGCAGGAAACTGCTAAGGGAGTTTTGAGTCCTTTTATTCTGTTGCAGTTGCAGAGAAAGGAGGGTGGGGGGTGGGGGGGTGGGGTCCGCCCCAGGTGTCATCACTGAGGGGGTGGCAAAAGGACAGAAAGCCGTGTTTTAAAATAAAAATAAAAATTGGGCTCACCAAACCTTTTAGTCGAGTCAAAAAACGCGGCTGGCACTGGGCGCCGCACCGCGGGGGCTGGCACTTACCGGGGGGGGGGTGCAGAGTGCCTGATCCACGCATCTCTCCTGGGGGTGACTTGGTGGCTTGGGCCCCTGCAGGCTGGACGCTGCCTGAAACAGAAGCGTGGGGCTTGCGTCTGCCCCCGCCTCTCCCTCAACCGCCCTACAGCTGGGGGGGAGGCAGAGGATAGGCTCCAGAAAGCCCACAGGACCCCCGCGTTGAACCGGGCACCCAAGCAGCTGGCTATACCGCTGTTCTGTTGTTTGAATTATGGGTGCCTTGAGAGTGAATGTGCTGTGCTTGCTGCCCCACTCCTCCTGATGGACCAGCCCCCCATGGTGCCAGGGCTGTAGGGCTTCCCTGGCTAGCGACTCAATGTAGGCAAGAGAGTTTCCCTTCTGGGTTCCTCTCTCATTTTGGGATGCTCTCTTTCTCCTCTCTCCCCACCGTCAACTCTGGGGTCCTGTCTCTGCTAGCAGTCAGCCACCGAGGAGGACATTCCCAATGTCAAGGAGGACGAAGGAAAAGGCGAGGAGGAGACGACCGCAAGACGGCTGGATCTCCTCAGCCCTGACTGGGTAGGTGGCCGTGGCCTAAGTGGTGATTGGCAGAAGGGGAGGGGGGCATATCAACCGCAGAATGGAACTGTTGTTTCAGTTATGGGTGCCTTGAGTTTTAACGTTTGGTTGCGTTTTTTAATTGCTCGTTTTTTGCATCTTTTCCTTGCAGGTTCCAAGTATGTCACCATTTTCCAGTGTTTCCTCCCTGTCCTCCCTGGATTCCCTTTGGGACTCCCTCAATGAGGTACGTAGCAGACAGAGCAGGAGGGAAGCCCTGCTGAGCTGCACATGGGCAACCCTGAGGCTGGGGAGGAGGAGGAAGAGGAGGATGCTGGCTGGCTGACCGGCCAGGCCACCTTCTGGACGGTTGAGAGCAAGGAGGCAAACAGGCAGGGGGCTGCTAAGGGCAGACCATGCTTGCTGCCCCACTCCTCCTGATGGACCAGCCCCCCATGGCGCCAGGGCTGTAGGGCTTCCCTGGCTAGCGACTCAATGTAGGCAAGAGAGTTTCCCTTCTGGGTTCCTGTCTCATTTTGGGATGCTCTCTTTCTCCTCTCTCCCCACCGTCAACTCTGGGGTCCTGTCTCTGCTAGCAGTCAGCCACCGAGGAGGACATTCCCAATGTCAAGGAGGACGAAGGAAAAGGCGAGGAGGAGACGACCGCAAGACGGCTGGATCTCCTCAGCCCTGACTGGGTAGGTGGCCGTGGCCTAAGTGGTGATTGGCAGAAGGGGAGGGGGGCATATCAACCTCAGAATGGAACTGTTGTTTCAGTTATGGGTGCCTTGAGTTTTAACGTTTGGTTGCGTTTTTTAATTGCTCGTTTTTTGCATCTTTTCCTTGCAGGTTCCAAGCATGTCACCATTTTCCAGTGTTTCCTCCCTGTCCTCCCTGGATTCCCTTTGGGACTCCCTCAATGAGGTACGTAGCAGACAGAGCAGGAGGGAAGCCCTGCTGAGCTGGAGAACCCTGAGGCTGGGGGGGAGGAGGAGGAGGAGGAGGAGGAGGAGGAGGAGGAGGAGGAGGAAGCCGGCTGGCCGGTCAGGCCACCTTCTGGACTGGTCGTGAGCAAGGGGGCAGGCAGGTAGGCAGGCAGGGGGCTGCTAAGGGTATGCTTGCTGCCCTACTTGTCCTGATGGACCAGCCCCCCATGGCGCCAGGGCTGTAGGGCTTCCCTGGCTAGCGACTCAATGTGGGTTCCTGTCTCATTCTGGGCTGCTCTCTTTCTCCCCTCTCCCCACCACCAATGCCACCACCTCTGGGGTCCTGTCTCTGCTGGCAGGCAGTCTCTGAAGTGGCTATCGAGGAGGAAGAGCCACAGGAAGTACCAGAGAGCCCCCCAGAGGAGGACGGGGAGGACAAGGAGGACAAGGAGGCCCTTTATTCGCCGTGCCCCCCACCTGGAGAACACCTGGAGGCAAGCATAATCGAGGTCAGACGAAACACACATTCATTCATGACATTTGAAAAGCTTCCCTGAACAGGGCTGTCTTCACATGTCTTCTAAAAGTCAAATAGTTGTTTATTTCTTTGACATCTGGCGGGAGGGCGTTCCACTGGGCGGGTGCCACCACCGAGAAGGCCCTCTGCCTGGTTCCCTGTAACTTCACTTATGGCAGTGGGGAACCGCCAGAAGGCCCTCAGCACTGGATCTCAGAACGATGGGGGTGGAGATAATTCTCCTGGGTTGCTTTTGGTTTGGTATTTGTTTTGTAAGATATCTCTTTTGAATGCGTTTCCAGGTGCCTCCTGCCAAATGAAGTTATTAATTGCAAAGTGGGTTTGGCGATAATAAAACCATGTTGGCACTTTGCAAAGCCGGTTCTCTCTGGGGTTTTCCTGCCTCCGATACCTTCCCCCCACCCTCTTGTTCTTGGTTTTGTGTCTCGTTCAGATCTCTCCAAGGCTGACCACATGAGAACTTGGGAGAGGAGTGTTCCCTCCTGACTACAACCCTTTCATATAACGCCTTGCCCCCAAAAAGAAAAGGAGGGATTATGACAGCCTGCCACCACACAGGCCCTTCTCCTTCACAAACGGTCTGGAGGGCAGCAACACAAGAAGGGGCCTTTTCTGTGGTGGCTCCCCACTTGCGGAATGCTCTTCCCAGGGAGGCTCATCTGGCATCTTCATTATGTATCTTTAGGTGCCAAGCAAAGACGTTTCTCTAGAACAGAGCTTTCCAAACTGTGTGCTCCTCCCAGGGCTGGAAAAGGGCTAGTTGAACTGAATCCCTGTGTTGCGAAATGAGGCATGTCTCCAAAGTGTGTCACCAACATGGAAAGTTCTGCTCTAGAACCAGCCTTGGGCTAATTGGACAACGCATGGCCTTTTCAACATGCTTGTGGATTGGGAGGTTGGCTTATGAGTTCGTTTTTTGTTTTTAATACATATGTTGTGTTTTTATTTTGTATTTTTATGCTGTAAGCCGCCCTGACAGCTTCAGATGAAGGACGGCATACGGATTTAATCAATCAATTGTTTGATTGATTGATTAATGATTGCGGCATTTTCCCAGAATCTGGAGGTGAATTGTTTACTTTTCTCACAGGACTGCGAGGAAGAGAGGCCCCCGAAGACCCCCACTTGCCTGGGCTCCATCATCTCCCGGATTCGCAAGATCTTCAGAAGAGCGCTGCCGCCAGCACCACCAGTGCCACCAGAGCAACCCAGTACAAGAGGCAGCAGTGGGGCGCAGGGGGAAAGGAGGCCACTCTGCACGTGGCTCAGGCGCTGGATGCGGCAGCATCGCAGCTGTGTCCACCCTGAACCCAAGATGAGGAGGAGTTGGGAAGCTTGCACCGATCCGCCCAGGGGGATTTTGCCACCCCCCCTGGGATGACACTCGGGGCGATACCCCCCCCCACACCCCACCTTCCTCCGCCAGTGGTGGCAGGGGAAGTAGCACCTGGAGGCGCCCGAGTCCCTAAGGGACATTTCCTTTTTGTTGTCCTTGCACAGGTCTTAATCCTTGTGGTCCAAACTGGAGAGGAGGAATAAAAGATCTGAGCGCGGAGGCAAGCGGGGCGAGAAACCCAACCCCATGTGGCCCTACGCTGGCGTCCCACACGGCCAGCCCCAGTCCTACAGCCCGACACCTTTTGAGATTGCGGAGCAGAACGGAGAAGACAGCGGGCAAAGGGTGGACGGCGAAGGAGAAGTGCGAGAGAACGACAGCGTCTACGGTGGCGGAGGAGAAGGAGAAGGCAGGACTGAGAGGGGAACGATCCTGGAAGGTGGCTTGAAAAGAAAGGGCAAAGACTCTCCTCCCTGAAAGAGAGGGGAGTGGTTGTGGGCGGGAACCCGAGCACCGCCCAGCAGGGGGCGTTGCCCCCTGCCTCCCGCTCACCTGGCTGGCACTCACGCCCCCCCCCCGGTGGCCACCCAACCAGGTGCCGTGGTGGGGGCGTGTTCAGCAGCCTTTTGCTGCAGTGCCAGCCTTTCCCTGGCCTCATTCCTCATCGTCGTCCCGTCACGAGTCACCCACCCTCCACTCCCTTTTAGTTAGGGCTTAGGTCATTGGCCTTGCTATGGACCTTAGGTTGGTCGCCCTGGTTGCCTGGGGGGCCTGGTAGGAGTTTTTCCATTTGGCAATAGGCTTTTTGGTTTTTTCGCCTACCTCGTAGCAATCGTCACAACTTTTGTGGTATTGGTGGGTAGGTTAGGCATTGGAATAATGTGTTGTGGTGTGTCGAAGTGCTAGGTGTGGCCATCGCCTATGCCTTCAATTTTTAGGGGTATTCCGTTAAAGGAATCTGGCGGTCGTGTATTCTGTCCGATGCCTGCTTGGCGGGAGGCCATGGCACGACCCGCGGTGACAGCAGGGGTGAGCCTATAGTTGGATTAGCATCAACAGGTGATGAACGCCTGGTGAATAAACCCACTTGTTTCGATCCAATGCCTAAGCCAATACCTTTTCATTGCTGTAATCAATAAAGTTGTGGCCTTTTCTAGCCCATTAACCTTATATCACGTGTCCTTGTGTCTTCATTTCACTTCGCGGGGGTCGGGCCCTCAAACCACAATAGGGTGTAGGAAAACTGCTAGCTCACGTTGCCCACGCCCAAAGGAGGAGGAGGAAGGAAAGGAGGAAAGCAAGCGAGCAAGAAGGGACAGCTAAAGAAAGAACTGAGAAAAGAGACAGTGAGACCTTCTGGGGGTCAAAGAAATTACAATAAGAAGGAAACTGAGAGTTTTTAGGTTGCGCTCCGCGGCAACCTGG